AGACATTTCTCAAAAGAAGACAAATGGCTAACGAGCAAGAAAAAATGATCAACATCACTCATGATCAGGGAAATGTGAAGGAAAATCCCAACAAGATATCACCTAACACTAGTCAGAATGGCCATTATTTAAAATAAAAAATAATAGATGTTGGTGCAGATGCAGTGAAAAGGAACGTTTATATGCTGTCGATGGGAGTGTAAATTAGTACAACCCCTGTGGAAATCAGTATGGGGATTTTTCAAAGAGCAAAAAGTAGATCTACCATTCGATCCAACAATCCCACTACTGGCATCTACCCAAAGGCTAAGAGGTCATTATACCAAAAGACACCAGCACCCTCATGTTCCTCTCAGCATCATTCACGACCGCATAGACGTGAGTCAACCTGAAAGCCCATCAACCAGTCAGGGGATCGTGAAAATGTGGTATATATACTATTTAGAGATTTTAAAAAATGAAACAATGTCTTTTGCAGCAACTCGGATGGAACTGGAGAACATCATCCCAAGTGAAATGAAGTAGAAATGGGAAAACACAAGCACGGCATGTCCTCACTCACAACTGGGAACTAAACTCAAGGCATAGAGAATGGTGTAATGGACGTTGGAGACTCAGAAGGTGGAGGGTAGGAAGGAGGAGGGGATGAAAAAATCACCTATCGGGTGCAATGTGCACAGGTGGGGGTAGTGGATACACTTAAAGCCCAGACTTCTTCACCACTGTATAGTATATCCACATAACCAAAAATTACTTACATCCCCTAAAGCTATTGGAATAAAAATAAGAACATCCAGAAATCATCACACCATAAAATCAAATGTGCTGTCTGTGCAGTTAATTAGCTATTGTCCTGGAGAATCAACTTTGGAAAAGATGGAATATCTACTGAGAAGAGCCATCCCATTGACTTAGGTTCAGCGCTACACTCTTAAACTTATTGGGTGACTCAGAACTCTCACTTTCTGTCGGCCACTAATAATACTATGTACCATTATAATATTAAATAAAAATAATGTTTGAGAGACAAAATCAGAAAATCTAAAAATATGAAGGTACTAGAAGAAAGTATATTCTTACAAATAACAAAAATTAGAACATCAAGAAACAGAGTAGCTCAACTAGTTATGTAACAATAGAGGAGCTGTTTAGAAATGATTCCATTGTATGTGGTTTACAAATATCAAAAGTAAGATTCCGATTTACACCTTCTGACTTCCAAGCCATGGTCTCCCTAAGCTCTCCACACTATGGTGAGTATTTCAGATTTGTTCATTTTTCTTGGAAATGAAAAATTAGCGCAAACTATTTGCAAACCAGTGTGGCATTTTTCTTGTATCGAAAACCATTAAAATGTTCATAACTTTGGAGCTCACAATCTCCTCTCTAAGGTCTGTTCTGGAGAATTAATCTTATATGTGGAAAACAATATGCATGAAGATATCCAGGGCAACATTTTAATTAAAAGAGCAAAAGTTGGAAGCCACCCAAATATTTCAAACAAGGACAATGGTTAAATAACATGCGGTCCATGGCATATGATAGAATGTTATGTTTTTAAATATTTATGTATAACTATGTTAAAAACTGAAAGTAAGACATAAAAGTATTATCATAATATTATCAAATATCAGTAATAGTAGAAGAAGGGACACACACGCAAAAGAAAGCAATTATGTGACAGTATTAAAATAGTAGGTTGCCTATGCTTCCAATTTTAAATATTTATATCTTTTTAATGTTTTTAATTTCATTGCAAGTGATTTCCCATCGAGAGTTCAAGGTTTATGGGTTGATAAAATCTATATCTGAGAAAAGATACCAAATGAAAAGAAGTTTCAACTCAGATGTTCTGTGAGTGTGATTTGTGTATACTGTATAACCTCAATTCCAGCATAAAGATCACTAGAGAAGCACTCTGTTGAACTAGTTTAAGCAAGAAATGTTTTAGTACAGGTATTGAATAGTTTATGAAATCATCGAGAGAGTTAAAATAACAGACTGCAGAGTGATCGCTCAAGAACGACTCTCTCAGCCAGGCTCGGTGGCTCAGCCTGTAATCCCACGCCTTGGGAGGCTGACGTGAGTGGATTGCCTGAGCCCGCGGGTTCAAGACCCGCCTGGGCAATTTGGTGAGACCTCATCTCTACAATAAATCAAAAACTAGCCGGGCACGGTAGTGCGCACCTGTAGTTCCAGCTACTTGGAAGGCTGAGACGGAAGGATTGCCGGAGCCCAGCAGGTTGAGGCTGTGGTGGCCGGGAGCGGCCACTGCACTCCAGTCTGGGCGACAGAGTGAGACTCCAACTCAAAAAAAAAAAGAATGACTCTCAAAGTCAAACGATGGAACCATGCCACAAAGGAAGAGGCAGATGTCTTCTTTTTTTTTTTAATTTTATTTTAAAGATGTGGGATACAATTCAGGATTAGGTAGACAAGTGGTCATCCTACAGGTACAGTTTGGGCCTCCCTTTGGTCCGCATTTTACCTGGCTTGAGATCAGTACCCTCATGGATGTTGTGAGTTCTAAAAACAGAAAACTACCAGCTCCAGAAGCACATTCCATGGCCATGGTCAAAAGGTGTTGGAGACGGTGCCACATTTGAGAAACCATCATACAGAAACCTCTACTACTGCGGCCAGTTCCAGAACCCTACCAGGCCGGCTGTTCAGTCCAGCAAGATGGCTGTCCTGCACCCTGCTTCCTGATCCTCATGAAGCTAGTGGCCTGCAGCGAGTCATCTATGAATACTGCCACCCGCAGAGGAAAAAAAACAATGACTCCAATACCGTCCTTGCCAGCAGAAAAGTCACAATGTCAAAGGTTGAGCCTTCAACCCACTTCCACTGTCAAATCTCACGCACTGGCTGAGCTTAAGACAAATCCAGAACCCTGATACGAGGAAGTCTCAGAGACGTGAACTCGAGCTCCCCATCCATCATCTCCATTGTGGAATGGCACACCGGAATGAGGGTGAGATGGATGCTGAGCACTAATGGACCTTATCCCTTTGGTTACTCAACATCTGTGCTCACCCCTCCCCTTTCAGCATTCTCCAAATGCAACAGTTAGTAACGACAACGCTCCCTACTAACGTAATCCAAATACTGTCCTGCATACCACTGGTTGAGGCCAGAGTCACGCAGGCCACCGAGGAATTCACCAGGACAGCGGTAAATTTAGAAAGGCAGATGTATCAGAGGCAGAACATAAAGATACAAGGGAGTGAAGGGCAGTACAGCAGAGAGAGGCTGTCTGCATGAAGTCGAGGACGCCAAAGATGTTTTATGGGGCTGTGTAGGGGGATGTCCTGGGCAGGACACACTGGAATGGCTCTGGACAGTGGATCGTGATTATTTATTTTGTCCGGATTGCTTAACAATGGACAGTTGCTTCTTAAGACACGGTTAGCACGTTTTTCATAACATTCACAAGTTTTTCCTTGAGGCCTTCTTCCTTAAGAAAATTAACCCAGTTGTTGCTGAACTGTTTAGGTCTTGTCTTCCTCCACAAACCTCTCTTTTACAAAAGAAGATGTGCTCACCCTTTCCCCAAAAGGGAGAAGGAAAGAAAGTCCCACCAGTCACTTTGTCCATCTCGGGGTGAAAGTTCGCTCCTGTACGATGACCACTTGTTTACCTAACCCTGAACTGTACCCCACATCTTTAAAATAAAATGAAATGAAAAAAGAAAGTTTGCTCTTTCTTTAAGGAACTACATCAGAAAGTTACCTACCAATAATGCCCTGTATTAAAAATTGCATAAGGAAGGAAGACACTAAAATTATTCCATATTCATAAATGCTCACAAAATAATGCAAGGAGAAAGATATGAGGACGCGGCCTTCGTTTCACAAAGGGGCAGATGCAGTTTGCAGCTCCCTTCTTCCTCCTCCCATTGTTTGTTCCCGCTGCCCTCAGCCAGCACAGAGGCTGGCGAAGACCCTTCATATGTCACAGGAACGCAAATGCTCATTCTCGAGCTCAGAGCCTATCATGACTTCCTGTGATCACTGCTGGAAGCTGCAGAATCTCCCTGAATTCCCAGTAAAGCCCTCACCACCTACATTGGATAGCAGCAGTCTTAGCTGAAAGGGAATCTGGCAAACGTGGTGTTTGGCTGTCTAGACGCCACAGTACACAGCTCAAGAAGGACGATGAGAGGGGTGCAGTGATCCACAGCTTTACCACAGTCATTAAGAGAAAAAAAGAATCACTCTTCCATGACTTTCACCACAATAAGGAATTAGAGGGGAAAACGTCTCTTTCGTGCACTGATATGCATGGCTGAGCTCTCGTGTGTGAACAGAGTTAAGCCTTAGCTTAACTGTGGGACAGTCACAAAGAAATCGAGTTTGGTATAATACCAGTTACCATGAGCTCATAACCAGGAAAGATTATCTCCATGCATAACAAATGGTTTGACAGAAAGCTGTTCCTTCTACCTACTCCCAAATCCTAACAACGCTATTTCTCTACATTAAAACCACTCCTAGGTATCAAGAGCGTTCACTCTCTTGTATATTAATAAACTGATACAGCTTATGTGATTCACCTTTATGGAACGCACGGGAGGAAATATTACTCCTGCCTCTTTCTCAGATAATTCATTCCAAGTTTCAGGGTTTGAACGGTAAATGGTTCTGATGACTTATGAGAGAAAAACATTTCTTCAGTTGCTTTGAATGAATCTCCCTTAACATCGGGATGCGTTTTTTGCTTTTCATACCACCAGGCTACAAGGTAGCACCTTTCGTTGCTTCTCTGAGTACTGCTTTAGCGCTGCAGTTTACACAGATGCAAATCAGGCAGTGACTAGGACTGCACTTTTGCCTTATTGATAGGACCTGGTTAATTGGTAATGCCAGGGTGATTTGTTTTGGGCGGGTGGGGAGCTTCAGAAACATCCAAAAGATAAAAGAGAGAGAGAAAAGATACAAGCTGTCACCAGCACAGAGGAAACTTTAGGATTAATCTGCCATGTGATAATGTGTTGACAGGTTGGTTACTGGAAAGACATGGAACAAGAAGATTCAGCAGAAACAGTGAAAACAAGGGGGAATGAATCCTCCGTCGTCCTGACGGGATTAGAAGGAAACACGTTATATCACTTCACAGTGAGGGCTTACAATGGAGCTGGATACGGGCCACCAAGCAGTGAAGTGAGTGCAACCACCAAGAAATCCCGTAAGTGACCTGGGCTTTTTGTTTGTTTCAGACAAAAGGGAAGCATGGCTTTCACACTTCTGAAAGTCACATGAGGAATATAAGAAGCAGAGTCAAAGGGGAGTTTTGATGCGTAGTCTTGCTTCAGTGCTTAGATCTGAATTCCAGACTGAGCTCAGAAAATTTTGCATTCACAGTGGATAAAGGTTATCTTCCTGTGAAACAAGGCTAAGCGATTTTGACACAGAAGGGAGATAAAAGGATTCAGGTTCAAAAGCTCAGTAGAGTAGCTATTAAAATGACACTCCTGGAGGAAAACCCTCCTTATCTGACTCCAGCTGGAAGGAAGCCTGTGTTGCCAGCCAACTACTAAACAGGAGAAAATACTGGAACGCTCGCAAGAATTTAAATGAAGAAATGAACTTAAGAACCCTTGTCAGTTCACTCTCCCTTTTTATTTGCAGCCCCTAGCCAACCACCTGGCAGCCTCAGGTGGGAACAGCAAGGCGCCCAGGTTTCTCTGGGCTGGGAACCTGTCACCCCACTAGCCAACGAATCTGAAGTTGTGGGTTACAAGGTCAGTGCCTCTTTCTTCTCTTGGGTAAGATACTCATCTCCAAAATTGCTGTTATGAGAATGGATGATCAGTAAGGCTTCAAAAGACCACCAGCATGCCAGGTTTTTCTCAATCGTTTTCTACCTGTATCTTAGGAAGAGAGCCTTCCTCTAGCGGGGAAGTCAAGGCAGCCAAAGTTAGTTTCAACAGCACAAGGCATAGAAAGGGAAGGAATAGGAGAAGTAGCAGTAATCTGAATCCAGTATACCGATGACTCTGTGAAGCATGGTGTCATGATCAGCGGATGTCAGGCCGAGAATCCTGGCCTGTTCTCCCAGCAGACAACTGTGGCTGGCAGCTGGCAGCGACTGGACAATTTCGCCTGAGTAGGAAGACCTTCACTTAGCCAAGAAATCAAAAAAGAAAAGCATGCCAGAGCCAGGACACCAGCTAGAAAGAGACAGAAAGGCCCAAAACAAACGCAGTATTCACACGCACGATTCTGCGATGTACCAGCGAGGTCTGCAAATATGAAAACATAAGCACAGTTTGTTTTAAAAAACAACTCTGTCTCTGATTTTAAAGTATATATGGTCTATCTATGGAATTGGCTCAATTCACATTCTTGTCTGATTCTATGTGTTGCCTTAAACTCCACACAAAATAATGCGTTGAACATTATTTACAATATAGTATTATATGATGTGATAAAAGATGTATACTATTTTTAAATATTTCAATGATAATATTTAGATGGAAAAGCATCATTATAGGTGGGTTTTCAACTGTCAGAGATTGTAACAGTTTTTTGTGTATAAACTGCTAAAATTCTAAAACTAAAAACTGAAGAAGTTATAAATGGATATATATATATAAGGTAAGTAATTCCCATGAATATTTTAAGGCACAAGTGGTGGCATTTGTTACAAACTGTAATTAGTATAGATCACAGACATTCCCACAACCACACTCACACCCACCCACTCTCATACACACACACACACACACACACACACACACACACACACACACACACATTCACTCACACACTCAAATATGTTCCTAATCTTCAGAGATATTGAATTTGATCCTTTGGGGGGAGCAGGTCAATTTCTATACCATTGCCTGACCCTTAGCTCTCTCTTTTTCATTCCTGTCCCCCAGAAGACCATGTCCTCCCAACTTGTCCTCTAGGGCAAATATACCCTCCAATGACTAGCAGCCCAACTCGCGGCATGGCCAGAAATATCACAGACTATTCAAGAACCAATCTAATACCCTTAGAACTATGACAAACCATCCCCCAGACAGAAGAGGCAATGTAGAGAATAAGGAAGAGCCAGGTGGAAGTGTGTGACCAACCAGAGATTCACATGGTTTTAGGCACCTCACAAGTGAGAATGGAGAAACACCCTACAACTGGAAGAATATTGGCTGAGGTTGGCCATGGGCTTCCCAGGCCAGGTCGCCCTATGCTTGGCCAACAGTTGGCCTCCTTATAGGAGTCACTGCTTTCCTTTCTAGATGTGACAGCCCTTCCTGGCCCCACCAGATTGAGCTCCTTGAAGGCAAGGACTCTATCTTACTTATTTGTTCCCAAGGCTTCTAGGGTGGATGGATAAGGTAATTCATATTGCGCCAGCTAGAATGGTGTACACAATTATTCATGTGTGGGTATTGCCACATGTGTATTTTTCCATCATGCCCTTTCCATTTGCTGGGGTACTGTGGGCAAAGATCCCAGCTTCTGAGTCAGGCCAACTCTCTAGTTCACATCCTGGCTGTGTAATTTTGAGTAAGTTGCTTAACTTCCTTGGGTTTTATTTTCTTAACTTCAAAAATGGCAACCAAAAAAGAAAAGCAATGATAACGCCTATGATGCAGAATTATTTTAAGGATTAAATTAGATAATACACATAAAATGCATGGCATATAAAGGGTGCTCGTTGAAAAACAGAGACTATTTTCCTTACTGTTATTGGAGGAGCATACTGGATAGGTGACATTTTTAAAAATAGTGACAAAGAAACTGGTCTTCAGAAGTTGCCTGCCGGTTCCCTCTAAATAAAGACAGTGCAAGTCATTTTAAAATGCCTTCTTGCTTGGGCAGAATCACTAACATAAAAACTTTGGTTGTGTAAATTAGTGATGGGCAGGTACACATTACATTACAAGATCTTTTTTTTTTTCTTTTTATTTCTTTGAAATGGCTGTACTTCCTTATATCCCTGAAAAGGAAGAGCTGATTTCTAAAATGTGACTCTACCATAACAAATGAAGGGAGACCTCAAAGCTTGCTCTTTTCCAACTTCATGGGAACCTCTGATGGGTGGGATAATGGCGAGTAAGAGACTTACTAACAGGAAAGATCCCATGAGGGAGAGCAGGCTTTAGACAGATAACTGGGCATAACACAGAACCTGAATTATTTGGGAATGCGAGCTTTCACAGGGCAAATAGCTGCGGATAAAAGTTCCTCTTGACACAGTCACAGTGGGACAGGAACATAATTAGAAATAATAGCTGAGAATATAAACTAAAGAGCTGTAACCCAGAGAACAAAAGCTTGGAGCCTGGAATTTTTTTTTTTTTTTTTTTTTGGCACCATGAACGTTTACTCAGTTTATAAAGTATAATAGCCATTTTATTCCCCCCTTATTTTATTCATACAGACTTAGTGGAAGGGAAAATAAAAATTAAAGGCCAAGAGGCAATGTTTTCACTTCTACAAATGTCCCCTTCCCACCGAGAGACATTTTTATTCATTCAGAAGAGACACAGCAAGAATTCAGGACAAGGGCCTCAAACTATCATCCCAGGAAGAAACATTTAGCTTTTCTGACCTGCATCTATGAAATACTCTGTTCTAGATTCACAACCCCTGCACCATACAACGCCCCTCACTCACTGTGACTTCCTACCTGTTTACTCAACTAGGGAGACTAAGGGGGAAATCGGACTCCAAGTTTACTAGTCGTGATATGACCCATCAACATTGCCAGAGCTTTTTATTTGTTTATGCGACTTAGAGATCAGTCGGGACCTTCCACACTCCTGAGAGACGTGGACCCTTGGGTGGATTTTGTATGCCACGCTCTAGAGCGTGTTGAAGCCCATTTCTATATTTGTCCAGCTTCTTGGCCACGCTACGTCTCTCATTTCCATATGAGAAGCTTCTCTTTCACCTGATATTCATGCCAAACGGGAGACTCAGCCTTCTTCTCTGTGTTTCCACAAATGACAAAAGACTCGTATATGATGATGACTTCAGTTGGGTGATGGGTACGTGAGGTCTATTATGCTGTCCTCTTTACACTTGATTGTGATTGAAATTTTTCAGGACGTTTTAAAACCTGAAACAGAAATGGCACAAATGACATATCGTAGATACAGGGAGCAGGCTTTATGGAAACGTTTGGAAGGTAGAATAGAAAGGGATGACACACAGGCAAATATCTGAAAACTGCCCCAAAGGAAATTCTGTTCCTAACAGCCCTTTCAGACACCCCGCAGCCGGTGGCTTCTCATGGGTACCTGTGCTCCCAACTTCTCTTCATCGAGTTTCCATTCGTCTTGCTGACTCCTCCCCACCCCCCCCACTCTCAAAGGGTCTCTAGAGGCCTCATCCTGGAGGAGAAAGAGCAGTGGTCTCCATCAGACCTTTTCCAGTTGCTCAGCTAAGAAACAGGCCTTCGCTTTAACAGGCTTCATCCTTCTCAGGAGTGTTTTTGGTATAACCAGTAAACATGTATCCAATCAGGTTTTTAAGCACAATCACCTCAAGATTCGATTACCGTCAGACATACAGAATAGCCATTTCCAGATCACACCTTTGAGAACCGCAGTGTCACAACTATGTGCTTTGAGTAGCCCACTGCTCTCCATGTTTATATAGAATTTGAGAACAGTCGTGGCAATTCATTAGACAATTTTCCTCACGCATAAAGATAGCTGGCAGTGCAACTGCCAATGTATAAGTGTTCAGATTCTCAAAGAACGCCTTGGTCCCCTGACCGTCCATGACTGTTTTTGACATGTCTTCGTAACTCCTTAACCATCTCAGCTTTCTCATTCTCATTCATCTTTTCCAAATCCAGATTTTAAAACGAGCTGAGATTCTCTAAAACATCTAATATTAACTCTTAATTTAATGTATCTTTCCCTGTAGTATCTCTACATACACGCAGAGCACTGTGTCTCCTTGGAAGTGTTGGTAAAAGTCACATTTAATCTCCAACTCCTTTTGCTATCATTAACTTTTTTTCCCTGCCTTTACCTTTTTATCTTAAATCTCAACTGATCCACAAATTTTTCTTCAACTCAGGATTTTACAGCAAGATTAGCTATGCATTGCTGGCTGCATTTTTCTTTGTCATAAGAATTGTAATTTATTGAAGCATAATAACAATGTCCTCTGAAATAGTCACTCCCCTGCCAATCCTCACCAATTTACATACTTTTCCATTCCCATAAATTTGCTTTCCAATTACCTCATGTGGGTGATCAGAATTCTAATTCATTGTAATGTTCCAGTCGAAATCAAAAGCATAAATACTGATACTTTTGTTATTTTAAACCAAAAATTTCGCTGCTGTAGACAACCTTTAGGAAGTGTCTCTCTGATTTCCCAAAGCCAGTCTGTGAAGGCTTGATTGCATTAAATATGTTTCCTTGGAGGTACATCTCACCCTTCACCACATTACCTGTCTTCAATAGTAAACTGTAAGCTCCGTGAGGACAAAGATGTGTATTCTTGTTCTCTGATGAATATCCAGTACACGGCACTGATCCTGGCCTACGTGAGGTGTCCAACAAATTTTTAATAATGCTCTTATCCTTCTGCATTTACATCGAGGCGATGGCCTCCTTTCCGATAAGGATTTCAATAGATACAATCATTGCACATGCCATACTATGATGGAGAATCCACCTTACCCCCAAGACCCTGAAGTACATTTAAATTCATGAAGAATAAAGTGAGTGGAAGAGAGGAAGCAGACATTACCAGAATGGAAAGGGAAGGTCAAGCACAGGAGAACTTGCCTATGTGAAAATATCACTTTTCTCACATTTTTGTGTTGTTGTTTTCTTGTATATCAGTTAGTTCAAGTTCAAGACTCATTTTGGTAAGAAAAAAAGGACACGTTCTTGCCTAATTTCCCAAGTCAGTCTATCTTTTATGAAGTCACCTTCAAAGTACGCTCCTATTAAAGATGTCATGGCATCCGTGTATGGAAAGATGACAGACCCTAACTAATAGCTTAGTTAGGAAGCTATTCCACCTGCTGCTGTCATGGTTTATCGTCAATGGTTTAGTGTTTCAAAACTCCCTTAAGCCACTGTTCATTTCAGTATTCAGGCAAAAGGCGTTTCCATGCTCTGCCCCTCACTGCCGACTTCTCCAGCCCCATATCTTACCGTTCCCATATATCATCTCTCCATTGGGGTCTGCCATCTTTCCATACATGAACACCATGACATCTTATTGCTTAGATCTATGAGAGGGACTCCCAAAAAGCCGGAGTTATCTGTTTGGAGGGTGGGCTCCTAGTAATTCGGGTGTCCCCCACTAGATAAGTGTTATAAAAGCCCATCGGATCAGTGCACCAGCCAATGGTGTAGCGAGAAGCTACACTTGACTTCAGTGAATTTGGGGGGAGGAATTCTTTCAACACGTTTGCCCCATTCGTGGTGGGTGTTTTTTTGTTTTTTTTTTTTTGAGTTGGAGTCTCACTCTGTCGCCCAGACTGGAGTGCAGTGGCCACTCCCAGCCACCGCAGCCTCGACCTGCTGGGCTCCAGCGATCCTTCCGCCTCAGCCTTCCAAGTAGCCAGAGCTACAGGCGCATGCTACCATGCCCGGCTGATTTTTTGATTTATTGTAGAGATGAGATCTCACTGCCCAGGCAGTTCTGGAACCCACGGGCTCAGGCAATCCACTCACCTCAGCCTCCCAAAGACGCGGGATTACAGGTTGAGCCACCGAGCCCGGCTCGTGGTGGGTGTTTTACAGGTGCCCCTGCCCACACCACTCTGAGCGTTCAGCAGTTTTTGACCCAAAACATCATCACCCCCGTACTCCACCCTCCCTATTCACCCGATCTCACCCCGAGTGACTTTCTTTTAGTTTCCTGGATGAAAAAAGTTTTCAAAGGGACAAGTTTTGCCAATGTGGAAGAAGTGAAACAAACATAGGCAAAAGCATGAAAAGGCATCAGAACTGACGAGTTCAAAAATTGTTTTAAGCAGTGGGAACTGCTGTTTAATAGGAGGGTACTTTGAAGTTGACTGAAGTTTAAGTGTGTAAGAATAAATACACAATTTTTAACAAAAAAAATTCTGGATTTTTTGGAGTCCCCCTCGTATTTATTAATCTTCTGGAATTCCCCTCCCTTTTCCAATGGGTGAACTCCTTTCGTCTTCAAATACTTACTTCTGACACCATGTCTTTGGAAATCCTTCCCTAAACCCCTAAACAGAATTAAACTCTCTTCTGTGCTTCCTGGGTCCCTCAGACATACTTCCAGTATGTAACACATGCGTTCTGCTTGCTGATGTATCTGTCTGAGCCGCTGAGCCCCTTCTGCTCAGCTCAGAATGTGACACCCATAGGTCATCAATATATTGTTATCCTCCTTAATCTAGTATCAAACGCTGAAACCTCTGTTCTTGCACACAGGTTTTTTATAGGCAAGAGGGTCACAGCAACAGTCAAGTTATTGAAACACAGAAGCCTCAAGCAATAGTGCCACTCCCCGACGCTGGAGTTTACATTATTGAAGTTCGAGCGTGCAGTGAAGGAGGAGAGGGGACAGCTAGCTCCCAAATCAGGGTCCCATCGTACTCAGGTAAGTGTTGGCATACGAGGCTTAGCTGAATAACCACTGGCAATGTCAGAACGGCATCAGACACATCAAAATTGATACGATGGGTCGCATGGCTCACAGATTTTTATCTTTCAATTTTCGAGTTGTGAGATTCCAGTAGGGATTTGCTGCATACGTAGGCTGCCTGCTGGTGAAGTTTCGGCTCCTAGAGGACCCTTTCTCCCCCTGGTAGTGGACCAGGTACCCAGTGTGTTGCCACACGCCCACCCCCCTTCCTTCCCTCCCTCCCCTAGCAGTGCCCAGCATCTGCCAATCCCACCTTTGTGCTGGTGTGTCCAGTTCAGAGCTGCTCATGAGCGAGAATGTGCGGTGTTCAGTTCTTTGATTCGGTGACAGTTCACTTAGTATGTCAGTCTCCAGCTGCATCCAAGTTGCTGCAAAGACCATCATTTTGTTCTTCTTTGTGGCTGCATAATATTCCATCGTGTATATGTACCACATTTGTTTATCCAGTCCATTTTCTACAGGCATCTGGATTGGCTCCATGTTTTCACCATTGTGAATAGCGCAGCAATAAACAAGCGTGTGTAGGCATATTTTTTGTAGAGCAATTTTCATTCCTCTGGGTACCTTCCCAGGACAGGGATTGCTGGATCATATGGAGGCTCAGTGATTCGCTCTTTGAGAAATAGCCACACTGCTTTCCATAGAAGTTGAATTAGCTTACAGTCCCACCAAGAGTGCAGAAGCATTTTCTTTTGTCCATACCCGTACCAGCACCTGTTGTTTTTGGACTTTTTTTTTTTTTTTTTTTTTTTGAATTAAAGACTCACTCTGTCACCCAGACTGGAGTGCAGTGGCCACTCCCGCCACCGCAGCCTCGACCTGCTGGGCTCCGGCGATCCTTCCGCCTCAGCCTTCCAAGTAGCCGGAATTACAGGCATGTGCTACCACGCCCGGCTGATTTTTTAATTTATTGTAGAGATGAGGTCTCGCCGGCCCAGGTGGGTCTCTTATGATAGCCATCCTCACTGGTGTTAGAGGGTATCTCGTTGTAATTTGATTTGTCTTCTCTGATGATAATGAGACTGAGCAGTTTTTCATGTGTCAATTGATTGTTTGTATGTCATCCCTTGAGAAGTGTCAGTTCATATCCTTTGCCCAGTTTTCAATGAAGAGTTTGTTTGTTTGTTTGCCTTTCAATTCATCTGAGTTCCTTGTAGATCCTGGATGTTAGGCCTTTGTCATATGCATAGCTTGCAAATATTTTTTCCCCATTTCATGGGTTGTCTTGAAGGTTTCTTGAAGGTTTCTTTTGCAGTGCAAATTTTTTTTAATTTAACTTTACTTTAAATATGTGGGGTGCAGTTCAGGATTAGGTAGATAAGTGGTCATCATATAGGTAAAGTTAAGATCCCACCTGTCTCTCTTAGCTTTTGTTGCATTTGCTTTTGAGGATTTGGTCATGAATTCATTGCCCACTATGATGTCCAAGAAGGTGTTCCCTACATTTTCTTCTAAGATTCTTATAGCTTGAGGTTTTACATTTAAGTTCTTGATTTATTTTGAGTTAATTTTTGTATATGGTGATAGGTAGGGGTCTAGTTTCATTCCTCCGAATGTTGCCTGCTAGTTTTACCAGCACCATTTGCTAAATATGGTTTTCTCTCCCCAGTGTTTGTTATTGATGGCTTTGTCAAAGATGAGTTCATTGTGAGACCATGTTGTTTATTTCTGGATTCTCTGTCCTGCTCCATTGGTCTATGTGCTTACTCCTGTACCAATACCATGCTGTCTTGGTTATTGTAGCCCTGAAATAAAGTTTAAAGTCTGGAAGTGTGTTGCCTCCAGCTTTGTTCCTTTTGCCGAGGTTGGCTTTAGCTATTCGTGCTCTTTTTTTGGCTTCCACGTGAATTTCCATGTTATCATTCCTACGTCTGTGAAAAATGATGTTAGCAATTTGATACAGATTGCATTGAATCTATAAATTGCCTTGGGTAGGATGGACATCTTGACAATATTGATTCCTGTAATCCATGAGCACGGGATGGCTTTCCATCTGCTTGTATCACCCTTGATTTCTTTGAGCAAAGTTTTGTAGTTCTCATTGTCAAGGTCTTACACTTCTCTGGTTAGGCAGATAACAAAGTACTTCATTTTTTCATGTGGCTGTTTGGAGTGGAATTGTGTATTTTACTTGATTCTCAGCCTGGTTTCTGTTGGTGTATAGAAATGCAATTATCTTTTGTGCATTGATTTTGTATCCTGAGACCTTACTAAAGTCATTTATCAGTGCAAGGAGGTTCTTAACAGACTCTCTAGGGCTTTCTAGGTATAGAAACGTATCATCTGGAAAAAGGGGTAACTTAACTTCCTCTTTTCCCATTTAGATTCCTCTGATTTCCTTCTCCTGCCTGAATTCTCTGACTAGGATTTCCATCACTGTGTTGGATTGGAAGGATGAGAGTGGGTATTCTTGTCTTGTTCCAGTTCTTAGTGGGAACACTGTGGGATTATCATGGGTGGCTCTTACTGTTTGGAGGAATGTTCCTTTGATGTCTATGTGTTCGAGGATTTTTATCAGTAGGGGATGCTGGATTTTATCAAATACTTTTCCTGCATCTAATGTGAAAATCATATGGTTCTTGGTTTTACACCTGTTACTGTGCAGAATTATGTTTATAGACTTGCAAATGTTGATCCAGCCTGCATCCTGGGAGTGAAGCCCCCCTGGTCATGACAGATGATCCTTGAAAAGTGTTACTGGATCCACTTTGCTAGAATCTTGTTGAGAATTTTTGCATCTATGTTCACCAGAGAAATTGGCCTATAATTATCTTTCCTTGTTGGGTCTTTGCCAGTTTGGGGTATCATGTATATCTTATAGAATTCAGCTGAGAAACCATCTGGTTTAGGGCTTTTTTGGTGAGGAGGTTTCTTATAACTGAGTCTTTATAGGTCTCTTTAGGGTTTCAATTTATTTTTGTTTCAACCTTGGGAGGTTGTATGATGCCAAGATATCCTCCATTTCCTCTATATTTTCTAGTTTATTTGTATATAGATGTTCATAGAAATCTCTGATAATCTTTTGAATTTCTTCGGAGTCAGTTGTGACATCACCTTTTTCATTTCCAATTGTGTTTATTTGGACTTTCTCTCTCTCATTTTTTTAGTCACTCTGGCCAGGGGTCTGTCAATTTTATTTTACTCTTTCAAAGTATCATCTTTTTGTCTTGCTGGTCCTTCCTCTGACATTTTTGTCTTCTAGTTCCTGCAATTGTGGCTTTATCTTAGTAATCTGGATTTTTCTGTTGGTATTAGGATCTAATCGTTCTTGCCTTCCCAGCTCCCTTAGATGTGATGCTAGGCTGTTTGCTTCTGGTCCCTCTGTTTTCTTGGTATGTGCATGTAATGCTATGAACTTCACTCACAACATTGATTTCATGGTATCTTGGAGGTTTTGATATGTTATGTCTTCGCTTTCATTTTTTTTTCCAGGTATCTTTTTATTTCTGTCATGATTTCTGTGTTGACACAAAAATCATTCAGCAGCACGTTGTTTAGTTTCCATATATTTGTGTGTTTGGTGGTGGGGGAGTTCTTAGTGATGGTGATATTTATTTTTATTTCACTGTGACCTGAGAAGATGCTTGGTACTTTATGTCAGGCATGGCCTAAAGTGCATAATATACATTCTCTCATTTAATTTTTGTAATAATCAGATGAACTAGGTGATGTTTTTCCTGTTTTACAGAAAGCATTTAACCAACTTCCCTAAGATCACACTATTACTAAGTGGCAGAGTCAAGGACCATACCTTGGTGTGCTTGTTTTGTGTCCAAAGCCACACACCTTCTCCATCATCATTATCAAACCAGCAAGGGAAAACCAATTAAAGAAGGGCAGCAGATTTGCAAGAAAGTAACCATTTCACTTAGGTAGTCACAAAAGGAAGCAAAAGCTTTTCTTATATATGCAAGTCTCTGATTAAGAAAGTATTAGGCAATTTTATTAAAACATTATATAAAAATTTTAATCTGCATTTAATCTGCATTTAATAGGTAATTTTGAGCATTATTTGTTATACAATTATTCACAAGCAGATTTATCAACCTAAAGGGAAGTTTCCTATAAGGCTTTGTATGTGGCCCTAGTTATTTAACATATTAATCAACTCGAAATTAGTCCATTCTTTTCTCTTTTTTTTTTCTTTTGATACCACAAAGTGAAATACAGTGTAAAAAGAAAATAGTATAGGCTGGAACTTTGAGGAAAAGCTATTCACATGATCCTTGATAAATTCTAAACTCTTACATAAAAATACAGGATGACGTAAAGGACATTATTGAGACAATGGATAAAATGTGAATACTTGTAGATTAGATATTATATCAATGCTCGTTTCCTGTTTTTTGAAAACTCCATTGTGGTTATATAAGAAAATGTCTTACCTTTAGGAATTCTACATTAAAGCAGGGTCTCCAGCCCCCATGTCATGGACTGGTACCAGGTCCTGGCCTGTTAGGGAGCCAGGTCACAAAGCAGGAGGTGAGTGGCAGGCAAATGAGTAAAGCTTCATCTGTATTTACGGTCACTCCCCATCACTGGCATGACCACCTGAGCTCCGTCTTCTGTCAGATCAGTGGGGGCATTAGATTCTCATAGCAGTCAGAACCCTGTTGTGAACCCCATGTGTGGGGGATCTAGGTTGCCGCTCCTTATGAGAATCTAATGCCTGATGATCTGAGGTAGAGCTCAGGCAGTAATGCTAGCACTGGGGAGTGGCTGCGAATACAGGCCAACATGAGCAGTGAGGCTTGACTGCACAGAGATTATAAGTCACTTGCTTGCAGACTCAAATCAAAACCCTATCAGTGAGTGGCAAGTGAGTTGATGTATTCACTTGTACAGCTGTGGCTGGTGGCAAGTTTTAAGTCAGAATCAACACTTATTTTAATCTGTATGTGGCCCACCCATTGTTTTATTTACAACTTCTGTCTGAGACTCTTTTTTTTTATTTG